TGGTGTTATATTATCAACAACATCAGTTATTAACTTGCAAAATAAGTTTCTTCTAGAAAAAAAGTTTGATATTCTAATGACATCACGATTTACGCAGGATTGCCTGTAGAATTTTTTTTCTCTGGTATGTGCAAAACAAGTAATTCCTACTGCTCTTCAATTTAAAAATAACTTGAAACTTATTTGCGTTGCCCAATTCTTGAAAAAATCATCAAAAAGCAGTTATGATATAGATGACCGTCAATTCTTAACTGGTTTTCTTGATATAGTTATTAGTAAGCCACAGAAAAGAGAGTGTATTGTGTTACCCAAAGATTGGGATAAAACCTCTAACTTAATCTTAAGTAATGTTGAGCAAAATTGTTTGTTTAATATTGCAGGTTACATAATTTCTAGAGTTAAAAAAATTAAAAGTTTAACTTTGTATCCTAAATGTCATCAAATTAAATTGAAGCTAGGTATATACAATATAAAACAATATAACACTCAAACTTAAAATATTTAGCCTTAAAAACAGCGTTTATTATGTAAAAAGAAAAAAACTAAAAAAAGTTCTTGTGAACTTGGCAGTAAGAGTATGACAATGCATGCATTGGCACTAAAGGGTAGGTTCAACTAATTTATAAAATAAATTGTAAAGCTTTTTTCAAGTTACTTATTTATTACAACAACTTTTTTGCTTTTTTTTTTTTTAAAGGTATTTCCCAAATAAATAAATAATTTTGAAAAAATTAAACATAAAAAGGTTTAATTTTTTTAAATACATTTTTGTTTAAAATATTATTGTGCTCATTTGTTGTTTTTTTTCTTTCAATTGTTTTTTGGCAAAAACATAGCCGCCGTTTTTCCGTATTTTCCGTATGTCCGCTCTCGGCTCTACGTTTTATCAGTCAATTGTTTGTAACTAACTTATATGTATATTTAGCTATTGTGTTTATAAAAACAAGTGACTTACTATTTTGATTATTATTATTATTATTACTATTATAGTTGTTGTTGTTTTTTTATTATTGTGGTTCTTATGTTTATTACTATAAATATTATTTTTATTATTTTAATTACTATTCTTATAATTATTACTGATTATATATATAAAGATCTATATTTTTGGTGTTTACTTAAGATTAGTATAACTATTTTATGAAAATATCCGTGAAATTACTTTTCAGAATATATATGATTGATTGATTAGGCGCATAAATATTTGGTCTGGCATTTGTATGAATCAGTTTAAAAAACAGATTTGATAATATTTTTAAGCAACAAAAACTATTATTATACAATGATTTAATTCAAAACTGTGTGGCAATTGTCATATTCTGCCTCAGTATTTCTCTCATTACGCCACCATGTTTGCCTCATCGCCTTGGTTTAACTTGTATCGTTTTCCTACTTTAGCGCTTTCATCCATTTTTACTTTAATTTTATTAATTAAAAATAAAAGTTTGAATAATATAATAATTCTTATAATATATACTTCCAAAGAAACATAGATTAGAAATATTTATTATTAACATTAGTTAGGACATACCATGAAGTTGGTCATATCTTATAAAAGATATGACCAACTTTATAGCACATAAAAAGCATTAAGCAACTTAAAACATAAGTAATTATTGCTACACATTAATCAACTCAAAGCATCTTTAAAAACAAAATACTAATACCATTAAATCTTTTAAACAAATAATTTATCAGAATTGCTAAAAAGAAAACAAATAAAAAATAAATAAATACTGGAGAACTGAAGCCTCATTATGATATAATTTATTATGCTGTTTCAACTTCTTAAGTTGCTATTATAAGTTGCAACTGGAAGTGATGACATTCAGTTTGCAGGGAATCTAAAACAATGTTATTTTACGGTTAATGTTTGATGTTATTAGGTTTGGCATGACAAAGACTTGTAAACGATGATGGTTATAAAATTTAAATATTTAAATGGTAGCAAGACTACCATACAAACATTTAAATTTTTAAGTCTTGACTCAAATCAACATAACATATCTTTTATATAATTAATTTAAAAATAGTCATTATCAATAGCATTTTGAATATTTCTTTTTTTGTCATTATTAAAGTGTTCCCACAAGTCCTTACTGTCTTATTACAGAGCACCGCAGAAGAGCATTTAGCTAGGAAATTCCTCATACCTAGTTGCTTAATGCTTAATAACGAACCTCTTGGTTTTGAGTCAGAACTCTAATCACTGTGTCATGGCTGTTCAATTAAAGAATCAGATAATGAGCTTAATTAAATTAATTAGCTAATTAAACAATATTATAACTTGGATGCAATTAATTGTTACAACCAAAACATATTGAATAAATTAAAAACAACTGTAGTTTTGACTTATATCACAATAAGAAATTTGTAAACTTATTATCACAATGAAAAACTTATGAACACAATATTACAATATTAAAGGTACAATTATTTATACAATCTACGCCAATATTGGGGTAAAATATATTTGATCAAATACAAATACAAATATGTTAGTTTCAGAATTTTAAATACAAATTCAAATACAAATATATGTTTCAGAACTTACCAAATATAAATGCAAATAAAGAAATTTGTTTGTTAGGTTTAGAAAAAATAGTAAGGGTCACTGTGAACTTCGTGTGCACAGGCGTGTTAGAAACAATTTTTTGCTTTTAACTTGTTTCTTGGGTTAAAACTAAGAAATAAATTTGAGTCCCAAAAAAAATGTTTACATTTGGTGCCGGGACCTATGACGTCAAACTTATTACAGTCAACAAAAAAAATTATCCTAAATTTAAAAAAGTATGTATTAAACAGAAGAGCTTGTCAAGGGGGAAAATATGTAAAAACCATATTCTGAAAACGTTTCCTTCCCAAGATATAACACCTTACAGAGTATAAAAATTTACAGACCCAGAATTTACAGACCGGGACAAGAAGTGTAACGAGTTTTATTTAAAGAGTTTTTATTAATATAAATTTATGTTCAAAGCAACTATCTATTGAATATTTGCTTGAAGGATTGTTTTAATTGAATTTGAAGTTGTATAATTCGTTCAATTTTTCAAATTGACAAATGTCATTTTAAATGTTTTTTATTAAAAAGGTAAAATTGTATATCTTTTTTAAAAATTTCGATGCTGTATTGGTATGGATACCACAATGGCATCACTTTTACATATTTCTCAAAAAGAAAAACCATTTACCACTCCCCTTCCCTATTCAGGCAAAAAGTGGTTTGAATGAATTCGTCCAGTAAAACAAAAAACATTTTTTACGACTTCTTAGGTATAGATAAAACTATATTTTTTATAAAAAAATCATTTAAATTACACAATGCACTATTAATGATAAGTAAAACTAGTAAAATTTGATAAGTATATGCTTATAAATATAAATATTATTATTCTATATCGATTGTATCAGATTCTAGTTCCTCATCACTGCAATAAATCTTTACATATCCGTATAAGCAAAGTTGTTTTTATTACGCTTACACCTCTTTGTAATACAATCACTACTACATCCACAAACACTCAATTCAAATAAACCCAATGGAGCAGGACGACAATCTGTCAATATTGGATCAAGGGACTCACCATTGATTTCCCAGCAAAAACCTTCAGAAGTAGGAAAGTTTTGTAAAGATTTGTAAGATCTTCTTAACACTAGACATACAAAATGAGTTCTAAATATTTTATATTTTAGAGCCCTCGCTGTAGATGGTAACTGCGCAGCATCTTGATGATACTTTAAGAAAAGAAACCTAAGCTTAGTTAAGGTCGATATGTTGTCGGGCATGTTTTTTAATACATTGGTGTTGACTGCAAAACTTTCAATACCTTGTAAAAGTAACCTGATTTGGGAATGACTCAATATTGTCTAATATTGATAATGCATACAGAATCATGTCATTCGCAACCATGAATGACTTCCACTATGTTAATTTGTTTTTTTCATAGAAACAGCCGGTCTAGTTACATTATTCATATCATTTACATATTCAAACGAATATTTGCTATTAACAAAATTGGTAAAATTAAAATAAAATGACTAAATTTAAAAAATAGAAAAGTTGCAATAAGAACTTTTTCTTAGTATCATATTTCTGATAAATAATGCATCTTGAAAATTAATTTTGTGATCTCCTTCGTTTACAGTTAGTAACATCCTCCATATCAGTTTTTAACTTTTGTATCATTTATATAATTCCAAAATATCAAGATGATGCCTAATAAACTTGCTTTATTAAAAAAAAAAAAATCATTCGCTTTTTGAGAAAAGTAGCACAAAACATTAATTTTAATAAAAAAACGTGCCAATAAAACAACTTAAACTCCCATAGAACGAACTTTTGTTCGTTGTATATATTATATAACTGCTTTTAATAGAAAGTTTATATCAATAACAACTCTTTTAACAAAATGCATGATTGAAACTCTTGTTTTCGGCTTTGGGCTTAAAACTCTTGGCCTTGGCTTTTTCCTTGAAACTTTTGGCCTTGCTATTTTTGGCCTTGTTAACTCTGGACTAATGTCAATTTCGGAAAATCAAATGTACTCAACTACACTATGACACTACTCAATCACTCAAATGATTTGATTAATTAAAAACTAACTAACATTGAGTACGTTTGAGTCAAATCTACTCAAATACATTATGATATCACTCAATCACTCTAATGTACTTAAATACATTATAAAAAAATGCTATCATAAATTTTATTTCGAAAATCATTTATTAAATAGCCATAAAAATATTTATACAACAATTTTTACAAAAAAAAACGTATATATTTTAAATACATACGTACATACATACGTACATACATACATACATACATACATACATACATACATACATACATACATACATACATACATACATACGTACATACATACATACATGCACACATACATACATACATGCATGCATGTATGTATTTATGTATGTATGTATGTATGTATGTATGTATGTATGTATGTATGTATGTATGTATGTATGTATGTATGTATGTATGTATGTATGTATGTATGCATGCATGCATGTATGTACGTATTTATGTATTAATATACATATATGTGTGTGTATGTGTGTATAGCCTTATATTCGCTCCAAATAGAATGCTTTTCCTTGCTTAATCAAATCTTTTTCATATGATATAAATTCCTCCATAAGAAGCGTGCGTAATTGTGAACGGCGTAGCTTAAAAAATCATAAGGTTTTGAATAATAAGATTTATGAATTAAAATAAATTAAAAAAATGAAAGAAAAAAGAAAACTACCAAAATTAAACTTTTTCTTTCGTACTTTAATTCTTCTTTTATAACTTCTATATCTCTCTTTGCTTTTCTTCTGGCAATTATCTAAGCAAATACCTAAGATTCACTTGACATTTCATAAAAGTTTCTTGTAAAATAATTGTTTATAGTTGACTCAGCAGCAAAAATATTTTTAAATAATTCATTTTTAGTAATATACCTCCTCCAACTTTTCTGGACTCTTAATTGCTTCAGCAACCATGAATCCTCTAAAAATATAAGCACCTTTAAGAGATAAAAGATTAGAAAAAATGTTTTAGAAAATCTTTAAGATTATTTAAATAATACGTAACATTGAGAGGAGGGAAGAAGTTTTGGAAAGTGGTAGTAAAAATATTTTAAATTTAAATTCTAATTATGATTACCTTACCTTAAATTTACCTTAAATTCTAATTATGATTACCTTTGTGATTACCTTAAATTGCAAACTCAAAGATATTTTTTTAAGAACAAATTTTGGCTTTAAACAGGAATTCATCAATTATATATTTTTTTAAACACATAAAATTGATTTTTAAAATTGACATTTATAAAAATTATTACTTCTTGTCTTAAAACAAAAAAAAATTTTCACGTCACACGCTAAAAGGTTTGGAAGGGAGGGGATTATAAAAATGCTACAAATTATCACATAGGGTGTTTTGTTTAAAAAAGCTAAAAAAGGTTGTGTATTATTTGAACAGTCAAAAAAGAAAAATAATGTCTGATCATTACAGTGACTTCTATGAAATATTCCCTAATATAATTATTATGTAAATTCTCTATATTAAATTTTAGTCTAAGTCACTGGTTAAAGAAATGTGTATTTTTACAACTATTTATTGAATAAAAATTGAAATAGATACATGCATGAATTGATATTTCTTTGCTTATGTTTGAAAATTTTTACTTAATTTGTAATAAATATACATTAATGACATTCAAATATAGTTAAAAACTTTTATTTGATTTTGCAATATTTTAAATAATTAGTTTTGGATTTTGCTCAAGTCAAAAGTATTTTTACTTTCAATTTTTAACTTTCAATTTTTAACTTTTAAAAAAGTTAAAAAAGATCATAGCTATCAAATTCATAAATTAATAAAAATTCATGAAATAATAAAATTAATTAGTTCATGAAATAATGAAACTAATTAAAGTTCATGAAATAATGAAATTAATTAAAGTTCATGAAATAATGAAATTAATTAGTTCATGAAATAATGAAATTAATAAAAAGTTCATGAAATAATGAAATTAATTAAAGTTCATGAAATAATGAAATTAATTAGTTCATGAAATAATGAAATTAATAAAAAGTTCATGAAATAATGAAATTAATTAAAGTTCATGAAATAATGAAATAACAAAATAATGTTCACTATATAATGAAATAATGTTTATTAAATAATAATTAGTGAACATTTCGAGACAATGAACTCGGAGTTCATCTTTGAGTTGACAAGCATGGATGTACTTTTGCTTTGAAATATGAAAGCAGTATTTGGCATCCATGATGCTCTAAATTTGAACTAATAGTTCTAAGTAGTTTTTAACTGCATTCACTACTGATTTACAAAGATTTTTACTTTATTATTTGAGCTAACTCATTTTTGAATGTGATTTTAATAGTTTAAATATAGGTTATATTATTTAATTTAATTTGTAAATAGGTCAAATACCAAATTGGTGCTTACATACAAATTCACCCATTTATTGTAAAACCATATTAAAATCCTACTGTATGTAACATATTTGTTGTAAAATCATGTAAAAATCATACTGTATGCAATGTACTGTATGTAACATGTTTTACATACAGTAACAGTTAAAACATTTTTTTGCCATAATGTTTTATGCAATAACTTTTCAATAGAATTTAAACCATTCTATAAATGTGAAATGTACAACTATAAAACTGAAATACACACCTATTAACTTTCAATTTGCAAAAAACTTTAGTTCCATGTTTAGTATATACATATACTAAGGCATTCACCCATACCAAGAGTATGATTTAAATTTTTATAAATCAAATGTTAACACCATCACTGAGACTAGAGATAAGTCAGCCAAATTTTAACTAGTCTCTAAAGCTTGTGGTCTGGACAACTTCCCTGTTATAGTCTTGCAGAAGAGTCCTCCAGAGCTATCATCTATACTTTCAAAACTGTTTAACAAGTGCCTATCAAAGTCTTGTTTTCCAGTCTGCTGGTAAGAGACATCTGTTATTCCTATTTTTGAAATTTCTGGAGAGCAATCTGTTTCTCAAGATTCTATCCTTTGCCCTACACTTTTTTTAATTTACATTAACATTCTCCCAGAAATTCTCACACCTTAGGTGGCATTGTTTGCTGATGATAGTACCATTTTTTCTTGTCTTAATGAGAAGCCAACACTCTCTGATTGCTTGGAGGGGGTATTGGAGCTTGAAAAGAATCTCACTTTTGCTACAGCATGGGGCTCTCAGTGGCTGGTGAACTTTCACTCAGATAAAAATTAATTTTATTAAACTAATTGTTATCGCAATAGTCTAGATCTTCCTTTATTTATGAACTGCAATGTACTTGATGAGTCATCAACCCTTCATCTTCTAGGATTAACTCTTATATTCGATCTTTTTTGGAAACCATATATTAAATTGATTGCAAAATTAGCATCAGCTAAGGTTGCATCTCTTTACCATGTTTGCCATTTTCTTACTTTGGATTCTATTCTTTATCTCAATAAATCCCTAATCTGCCCTTTTAAAGAATACTGTTGCTATATCTATAGCAAATCTTCTAATGATGCCCTTTCTCCTTTAGACAAAGTACAAAAACACATTGTAAGCATTGTTGGACCTGTTTTTGCAGTCAACTTTTAATCATTGTCACATCCTTGTAATGTTGCTTCTCTTCAAACAAAAATATATGTAAAAAAGGATAGATAAAAACAATTTGGTGGTAACAATGGTTTTATGTTTAACATTTTTTGATGCTGCAGTCAAAATGATAGTATCAAATAAATACTGTAGTCAAACTCTAATAAAAAAAAACCTTTTTTGGGTTAGGTATGGGAAAAGGAAGCTTATAAATAATAATCATTTTAGTGATAGTATCATAATAAAAACACTCATTCCTAATCTGCAAAACAATTAAACACCAAGATAAGCATCTAGTTGAAAAATGCACATATTCCAGATTGAAAAAAAAACTAGCATAATAGAAAGCCATCAAATTTAAGTATAATCTAAAACTTAAAAAAAATAATTCAAACATAAATGGTACTAGACGCCGTACTGTGATAAGAGTAATAATGCAGTTTAGATAAGAAAAGATAAGAAAGATAAGAAAATATCTAGAACTATATGAGATCTCAAAAGCTAAGTGAAATGTTAGTACAATCCATAACTAGTTTTGATTAATTTTATTTTAATATGCTTTCCAACTTTTTGATTGTAAACTTTCTAATAAAACAATGAATTTCTGGTAAATTAAAAAAATTTGAAAAGTTTTCTTATTTGTCTCTGTTTTCTGCTAAATATCTTTGTACTGTAGTATTTATCAGTGTTTTCTGCTAAATATATTTTTTACTGTAGTATTTATCAGTTTTTTCTGCTAATTATCTTTTGTACTGTAGTATTTATCAGATTAAAATAACTTGTCTTTAGCATGCTTAGACAAAAGGCATAAGAAACCCATTACTTCCATAGTGTTATTTTCTTATTTAATGACATTATGAAAGTGTTAAAGCAATTTTTTACAACTGAATGCCCTTCACTGTGTTTATATGTCTTAATCCTTTAAGACCAAATATCTTTATTGTGACTAATTCTTTTATCACTAGGAAGACTACCATCCAAGATTTATGAGCAACAATTAAAATTGCATTTTTATGTCAAATTTTTCTTTCTCAAGGTAAGTTACCTAGGAGACCACAAACTAAGGAGCCTCACCAGGTACTGTTGTTGATAACGACAATGATGATGACCATGATGATAATTACAACAAGACAAGTAATCATAAAAAGCAAGTAATTACATTTTGTCTCTATTTTAGTTTATGTCTATGTTGCAATATTTCATCTTTGAAAAATTTGTTACTGGTTTTTGTTGAAGCAAAGTATATATTATTAGAACATTAAACAATGGTGCACAGTATACATCTTTATTTTGAGTAGATCTCTACATCTTTCAAAACAAAAACAAAAAAATTTTCAAGTCATTTTTGTGCATATAGAAAGTTTTTAAAACCTGTAGGTGAAATACACAAAAATGAATTGTAGTTTATTCAGGAATATGTTCTTAACATATTTACGCAACAGTTACAAGCAATAAAAACACCAAGAATGATGATTGTTAGGTAAACAATACAAAAATGACAAAGTGATATGTTCCAAGTTAAAAACCACTAGTTATTAGATTGTTTATATTAGAAATATACATGCATGTATATTTCTAGTATGATATTTAAAAATTCTACTTGCACTGTTTGTGATGTACAAGATAAAGATATATCTAGATTTATATAACTAAAAAAAAAATAATATCATTATACAATAAAACTATTTGATTTGATTGTTATTATTATTCATGCTTATTGTTTAAGTGTTATGTTTAACACTTTATTTTTTTAATATTTTTTATACATTTCAAACATTTTATATTTTTAGCAGACACCACTGCTACATTAATGAAATTTTATAATTATTGACCCAAGTTCTCCCTCACAATTCAAAAAAAAAAAAAACTTTTTACTTACTGGGAATCACATTTTTTTCCAGTTGCATGTTTTTCATCTCTCTAAAGTCTCAACAATAATAAAAATATATGTTGAATTAAAAAAAAAATCCAACATCCATTTGAAATCATTTAACATCAAGTTATTCATATAAGATGAAAAAAGAAACTCAACTGAAAAAAACTTCACCTTGCTTTTAATATTTTGTCCTTTAAAAGCTTTATGAGAAAACCTTGAACCCTCACTTTCATATCTATACGATGTTGCAAGTAAAGACATTTTCAATAGCTCTGTATATATATATATATATATATATATATATATATATATATATATATATATATATATATATATATATATATATATATATATATATATATATATATATATAAATATATATATATATATATATATATATATATATATATATATATATATATATATATATATATATATATATATATATATATATATATATATATATATATGTATATGTATATATATATATATATATATATATATATATATATATATATATATATATATATATATATATATATATATATTAATAATTTATAATCAATAAATTAAAATAAATTACTATAAATCAAAAATTAAAATACTTTATAGTTTATTCTATAAAAAAATTTATTAGATGAATACCAAAATGTAATTAAATATTTTAATTTTTTTTAATAAACTGTTACAAAAAATTTTTTTAATAATTATTTTATATTTAAAATGAGCTTTTTCAACATAAATTAAATGATAGTTTATATGTAATGTCTTTAATTTGAATAGAGTAAATGAAATTCAAAAAATATGAAAAGTGAAATATAAATAAAATTAGTAAACCAAAAAATAATAATAAAATATAAACGAACAAAGAATCAGGCAAGTATTTTAAAAGTAAACTTTTATGGGAGCATTTAAAATAATAATACTATTTTATTTACTTTGTTTAAACAACTTGTTGCTAAGACAAACTATACGAGAGCCGAAAAAAAACCTTTTTTAACAACTAGACAAAATATTAAAAGGAAGGTGAAATTTTTTTCAGTTAAGTTTCTTTTTTCAACTTATATGAATAATTTGATGTTAAATGATCTCAAATGTATGTTGAAAAAAAAAAAGACTGGCAACTTTTAGGGGTTACCAGCTTTTCTTTTTTTTTTTTTTAGGTGCCCCAAGAAGTCCTAACGGTCTCACAGAGCACTGCGGATGAGCATTTAATTGGAAGTTTACGCCTTTTTCCTAACCGGTGTGGCAAAACTTGCTAGAGGTAGGGTTTGAACCACGGTTCAAACCCTACCTCTGGCAAGTCCTTCAAACCCTACCTCTGGCAAGTCCTTCAAACCCTACCTCTGGCAATCCTTTGTTTCTGAGGCTAGTGCGCTACTACTGCGACACGACTGCTACCCACTGCGCCATGGCTGCTACAAGTTTTTGTTAAACAATATCAAAATGAAATGAGAATCTTCGAGAGAACACTTTAAAAAATATTTTAGTTGGAAATTTTGTAAAGTATAATAAAAATCTTACATTGTTTCCAGCCAGGGCTATGTAAATGCGGAAGTGGTGAAGGCCTTCTTTTTTTTTTTTTTTTTTTTTTTTTTTACAACACAAGTATCCCTTTATATTTCAATAAAAAAAAATTACATATAAGTACAAAACGTACAATTAAACAATTTTTGTACCACTAAAATTTTTACAAGACAAAAGAAATTCAAAATTCTGTTTAGCACATGCGCGTTGTACAGTGCGCAAAATAAGGTAACTATTCGTTGTTTATAATATAAAGTGCTGGCTATTAACCCATGCATTTAAAAAATATATGCAAGTCCGTCGTATCACAGGGCTACTAGGGACTAGCTTGTGGACGTTGTTGAATATATATATATATATATATATATATATATATATATATATATATATATATATATATATATATATATATATATATATATATACATATATATATATATATATATATATATATATATATATATATATATTCAACAAATACACATAAGTATTTTGGTATCTACTATATAGTAGAAGTAGTAGGGCTTTTTATTATTACTATTTTTCCCAAATTGTTAAATACATTTCGATGAAGTTAGTTAAGTTAATTATGATATGTTTTAGTTTTTTTTTCAGAGCAATAAGGTTATCCATTTTATTAAGTTCCATATTTTGAAGTATTATTTTGTTATGTAAGTATGGGCCACGGTATATTAAAGAAAATCGCGAGAATTTTGTTTTTTTTTAAGGCAAGGTGAAGTTGCCTGTTCCTCGTGTGATATATTTGTTTGCGTTGATATGAAAAAAGCTATCAGTAAAGTATTTCGGAACAAGTCCGAGTTTGTATTTTAGCATGAATAAGATATTTTGGTAAATATTTGTTTGATAGATATTCAATGCATTCAAATTTTTAAGTAAAGGGTCGGCATGAGTGAATTTATCTTTATTATAAATTAATGTTGATGCATGTTTCTGATGTAATGAGTGAATTTATGGGTACTTCCCCATGCAATATTAGCCTATGTTAGGTAACTTTGAATATAAGAAAAGAAGAGAACTTTTAAGTTGTCTTGGGAATACATAGGTTTGACTTTGTAGAGTACGCCGATACTTTTTGATATTTTTGTGTTTATTGTATTAATATAGGCTTTCCAATTAATATTCTGGTCAATAATTATTCCAAGAAACTTAGTTATTTCAGTTCTTTTGATGTTTATGTTATCAATTTTTAGTAAAGGTAGAGTGCCTGGTATAAAGTTTTTAAGACGGTTGGAGTGAAAAAAGATATATTTTGTTTTTTCTGTATTCAAAGATAATTTATTTACTTTAAACCAGATGTTGAGGTTTTTGAGGTCAGTGTTCATAAATTCGTAAAGGTCGCTTATAGACGGCGATGAGTAAAATAAATTTGTATCATCAGCGAACATTATTACGTCAAGTTTTTTTAGGGCTTTTGGAAGATCGTTGATATATATTAGAAACAAAAGGGGACCCAGAATGGAACCTTGGGAAACTTCGCATTTTATTTCTAGTAGGTCTGAATATTTATTATGATCTGTAACAACGCATTGTTTTCTGCTACACAGGTAACTTTTGAACCAGTCAAGGGATATATTTTTAACACCATATCTTTCCATTTTTTTAAGTAAGATATTGTGATTAACTGTGTCGAAAGCTTTGGATAAATCTATAAAAGTCCTTAATACAAAGTGCTTTTTATCGAAAGAATTACTCTATTTACATGATCTAAAATAGCATGTTCGGTTGATTAGCATTGAATGTTCGGTTGATTGGCTTGAATGGCATGTTCGTTCTCTTCGATCCCGACCGCGTCTTTGGTTTCCTACAGCGACTTTTGATAGTTAAGCCTTGTGTTTTGGAGTTGAAGGGTTGAAAGAGGCTTGTAACAATGACTAAAGTCTGTTGTAACCCTGTATGTCTTGAGGAGGGGAATACAATGAAATAAAAAAAATAAAAAAAAGCTGTTTGGTCGTAAATTTATATAGGGGAAGTGGGACTGAAATCACATATGGAGGCACAACAGTTTTTTAATATTTCTCTTTAACAAGGTTATCTAATATGGCAAAAAACATACCACGAGTTGGACAGTTTCTTTCATTTCGCTGAAAACCACTTTTGATATCAACATAACCTAATAAGAAAGCTATGAAATTGTATTTCTAAAAACTGTTCTCTGGGGCAGAATCGCGTAGACTCACGCAAGGCACAACTGCATACTTTTGATATTTATCAAAATTAGATAATAACGAATAACAATAATTACAATTGTCACACTTGAATGCGTTCATGTAAAAACTTGAATATAAATAGTTTTGTTTGAGATATTGTAAGTTAGATTTCGTATTTTTTTAAATTTAATTTGTATAAATGAGATTTTGATTAAATTATAAAGCTTTATATTATATTATATTTATAAATTATAAAATTATAAAAATTTAGAATTTTTAGTTAGTGCTAGATTTGCTGTATCAAAAGAACTTCTTGATTTATAGTCAAAAAATGTGTGTGTGTGTGTGGGCGTGTGTATGTTTGTGTGCGTGTATGTGGGTGTATTTGCATATAAATTTATTCTTATGTCCAGAACTCCTCAAGATGGCAATTATTTATTTTCTGCTGTCTCCATTGCTTTAATCGGAAACAATATGCTACCAACAACTCTTAGGAAGCTTTGTGCAATCGAGTTATACAAGAATGCAAATTTTTTTGCTGTGCATCCTGTTTTTCGTCTGGGGCATTTAAGTGGTGTTTTTCGATCAGAAAGATCCACTTTCTTGTTAGGAATATCCAATGTTGCATGTACTGCATTTGAAGCTAAAAAGTCTATAGTTGATGCTATTTTGGCTGAAGCATTAAATATTTCTCAATCTGGTGTTTGGTCATCTTTAGTTTGTGTGATGTCAATCTCAAATGTTTTAAAAGTATATTCTCATTTGTATAAAATTAACATTTAAACTGATTTGAATTTTATTGTTTTATTTATTATATAGATATTATTATTTTTCTTTTTTTTTTTTTTTTTCTATTTCAGATTCCATTGAAACTCTTTTATCCTACTACAGGAGATGCATGTTTAGAATATTTATTTAGAAGTACATTGTACCCACAGACTTTTAAGAAATTTGATGAACCTTATCAAATAATTTACTTATTGCTTTACAATGTTAAATCAAAGAAAGAAATTCCAGACAATCTTACATATGGGAAAAATGCATTATTTCAAGCCTAATCATTTTGTCCCTCTAGTATCTATTATAAGCACTCAGTTAGAGTTTCGAAATATTTTAGTTCGTACCCAAACAAGTTTAAATTCTTCAAAAAATATTGTTGTAACTGGTGAAAAACGCCCTTCAAATAATTCACTTCTTCAAATACCTTGTTCTGTTGTTCAAAAAATTAATTTAACCAAACCATCATTGAGTATTAAGAATTTTTTTTCTGTGAACAATAAACCTTTGCCAGTATCCAGTTCGTCTTCGGTTTTAAGTAATGAATTTGAAAAACCAATATCAGGAGTCGTAATTCCAAAATTAAATGTAAATTGTGAAAATGCAACAACAGAAGATGATTGCAACGAATTTGATATTGGCTTGTTTGTAGACAAAGTAGGGAAATTATCAAACCAAGAGAAGCGTAATATTCTATTGAATGTATGGATACCACCTTCTGACTATGTTTTTCCTAAAACTAATGATCGTAAATGTAACTCTGCTTGGTTCAAAAAATTTTCATGGCTCTGTTACTCAAAGTACTATGATGGGTTATTCTGTATATCTTGTGTTCTGTTTGGAAAGGCTTCTTCAACTAGTCAATTGTTTCATGAATATCCATTTCGGTTTTGGTCAGTTGGAAATGTAAGAATAATATCACATAATAACACTTCACCAATGCATAAAACCTCCATACAAATAATGCTTGATTTCCAAGCAGTAATTAGTAAAAAAACCGTTCCAATTAATTTGCAACTCAATAAATTTCTATCTGATAATATTTCTGATAAATCGGCAAATTTTGTTTTCAATATCACGTGCAATCCTTTTTTGTTGTAGGCAGAATATATCACTTAGAGGACATCGAGTTGATGCTAAACATCTTGCTTTGCAATGTAATAATGCTGGTAATTTCCAATGCTTATTAGATCTGATGGCATTATGCGGTGACAAGATCTTGAGTGACCATTTTAAAAATGGTCCTAAAAATGCCACTTATCGATCAAAGACAGTGCAGAATGAGTTTATTAATATTTGTGCAGGTGTTGTTCGATCGCTATTGACAAACAGAATAAAGAAAGCAAAATTTTTTTCTATTTTAGCAGATGAAGCTTCAGATGTTAGTCAAACTGAACAAATGGCTGTAGTTGTTCGGTATGTGGATGAATGCTGCAAAGTAAAGGAAGATTTTTTAAAATTTGTTTCCTGCAATAGTGGGTTGACTGGAGTTTTGTTATCAACTAAGATCAAAAAAAGTATACATAAACTTGGTCTGGAAATGTCTTATTGTCGTGGGCAAGGTTATGATGGGGCTGGTAACATGGCAGGGCGTCTTTGTGGTGTAGCAGCATTAAATTTAAAAGATTTTCCTAAAGCTCCATACATCCACTGCTATTCCCATCAACTTAATCTGTGTGTTGCCAAAGCATGTGCAATTCCTTCAATTCGAGATATGATGGATCATGTTAGGATTGTCTCTGATTTTTTTAATAATTCTCCAAAGAGGTTAGAAGATATATCTACAAAAATTGTTGAGCTATGTCCGATATCATCCTTTCAAAAGACAATAAATGTTTGTAGAACCAGGTTGATTGAAAGAATTGATGGTCTTGAAGCTTTTATTTAATTATATCCAGCTATAATTGCATCTCTTACTTGTATTAAAGAAGATGAGACATGGAACTACAAATCCAGAGGTGATGCTTCTGCATATGTGACAATATGTTGTTCGTTTAAGTTTATCATCACCTTAATCATAGTCAGGAAGTTATTAGGGTATACAAGACCACTGACAAAAACGTTGCAAAAAGTTGATCAAGACTTTTCAAAAGCTCGTGATGATGTGGAAATTTTAAAAAACACTCTTTTATCTATTCGGAGCTCTATTGAAATTTCACACTCAGAATGGTATAAAGAAGCTGCTACCATAGCTGCAACTAATTATACCTTGCCATCTAAATCAAGAACATGTGAACAACAAACACAACGTGATAATCATCAAGTAGATGATATTAGTGAATATTATCGAGTAACTTGTTTGGTTCCTTTTCTTGATCACATTCTAACACAGTTAGATTCTTTATTTTCTTTAGAAAATTTAACATTGCTAGATAGTTTCGCCATTATACCATCAAATTTAATCTCTGACAAGAAGTGGAGGAAAAAAGTAAAAGATTTTGCTCATACATACAATAATGATTTACCAGAACCAAGTTATTTTTATGCTGAATTGGATATGTGGTAAGTATACTGGAAAAATCACTCTGAAACAGCTCCTAAAACTATTTCAGATTCACTACAAAAATGTGATGGCAATACGTTTCCAAATATTTCTACTATACTTTGAATCCTTTGCACAGTACCAGTTACAACATGTACTTGTGAAAGATCATTATCAGCTCTGAAAAGAATTAAAACTTTTTTTCCTTGCGCAATTCTATGACAGATGATCGCCTAAATGGCATTTCCATGTTGCACATTCATCGATGTTGAAATTGACTTAAATATTGTTGTAGATGAATTTGCGACTGCATTTCCACGAAAAATGGAGTTTAAAAATATATTGAACTCTGATCAATAGATAAACTTGTTATAAAGTTATACTGATTACAGATAGATATAGGATATATAAATATATATATATAAATAGATAGATATATAATATAGGATATTTTTATTTATTACTGATGGAATATTTAAAGAGGATATTTTTTTGATGTCATAAATATTTCATATTTATTATTAACTTTATTTATGTTATGAGGTTTTGTTAAAAAATAGTTAAGGTTTTTTACCTCTTATGACATTTTTTTTTCTTTATATTTTTGTAGTTCTATCTTTGCCATTATTTTGTTTTAGTTTGAATACTGTTGAAATATGGTTTGAATTTAGTAAATTTTCATGATATGAACTTTACTTTATTGATCATTAGCCAACAGTTTTGGATGTTGAACACAATTAAGGTAAGAATAACTTGCAATTGTTAATTGTCATGGTATTGCTATTTTATTAATGGTATTTGATTTTGAGAAGATAGTTAACCATCATTTTTGGATGGTAAATTATCATAAGATTCACCCACATTTAACATTATCTTGATAACTCGAGTCCTTAATAAACGAACCCCCCCCCCCCTATTGTTTATTAATTTTCGATATTTTTCCCCATCACACTAAGCTTATTAAGACCTCCCCCCCCCTCCTTTATTCCTTTTATTTGTTATCAACAAAACATTTATATCTCAAACCTAAACAACAAACAAAATCTGCAAAAATCGGCCTTAAAAATTTGAAAACAATTTTCGAGTCTCCGATAAAAACAAAAAGTGTAAACAGGCTTTAAAAATTATCGACATAGTAATTGTACCGAAAATGTATTTTCTTTATTTCTCACCAAGGTATAAGCATATTGTATAAGCATATAAAATAAAGATGTAATCTGCTACTGCCCCCTCCCCCTTATATTTATTCCCCTTCTCGTATTCGGGATTCGAGCACATTTCCCCCTCCCTTCCTTGGTAACGGAGAGTCAAGAGTGTCAGTACTCTGGATTTGAGGACCTTTTTTTTTTTTTTTTTGCTACAGTCAAAATTATACCTGGATCCGCCCCTGATATATATATAAATTTATTGACAAGCTCGAGGCCCAATATAATAATAAACAGCAATAAACATTAAAACAACAAAATGTCATATACATAAATCAGCTATCATTTTTAACATCAATTGAAACTGCACTTAAAACACGGAAATATATAACATGAAAGAAGCATTTAATTTTTAAACTTTATACGATACTACCAGAAGAAATCTCTAAGTTGTGCTTATTCGCAATGCTTAGCTAATAGTTCATACACCATTTGTAAATTTAATGCTTATGAAAAGGTTAGTCATTATATGACATTTGCTGTTTACTATACAGTTGTGTTATTAAACCTTCTAGCACACTGTATTGGATAATTAAGAACTAAAAGCTGCATGTAGAAATAGTCCATACCATAGAAAAAAGAAATTAAACTAAATTTTTTTTTAAATGGTCCAAAAAATTTTAAATTTTTGTGGCAAAGAGTTTTAACATTTTACTTTTGCCAACATCTTTTTTTGAATGATCTCAGCAAATTAAACTGCAATTATTCGACAATGGATCTTATTATTTTCAATACGTTCTTTAAAATACGTTACGCAATATCAAAACGCAATTTTCTTACGCGTTACGAAGTTATAGAGACTATTAGAGTTATGCGGTTATACAAGTTAGCACAAAGCTTAACATAGCACCAAACATTTAATATTTTGCCGAACGCAAGATAGACTTTGCGAAAAGATCTATTTTAATTTTTAATTTGCAGCATAATTTGTTTACGCAATTACGTAATTTATTTACGCAACCGTTTTTAGTGGTTTAAATTAGGGTTCATTATCGAAATTGCAATTTTCGAAAATTTTCGATTAAAACGTTATCGAAATACTTCTTTTTTTTCGAAATCTAAAAAAACTTTCGATAATAATCGAACTAGCCATATTAATTTCGAAAAAAAAAAGTAATTTAGAAATGTGAAATTAATTTCGAAATAAAAAGGTGGATTACGAAATAGGAAATTAATTTCGAAAGGAAATAAAGAATTTCGAAATGTGAAATTAATTTCGAAATAAAAAGGTGGATTTCGAAATAGGAAAATAATTTCGAAAGGAAAAAAAGAATTTCGAAATGTGAAATTAATTTCGAAATAAAAAGCTGGATTTCGAAAAAGGAAATTTATTTCGAAAGGAAAAAAAGAATTTCGAAATGTGAAATTAATTTCGAAAAAAAAAATGTATTTCGAAAAGTAATATTAATTTCGAAAGAAAAAAAAGGGTTTCGAAAAGTCAAATTAATTTCGAAAGAAAAAAAAGAGTTTCGAAGTGTGCAATTAATTTCGAGAAAAAACCAATAGATATTTGGTAAGCTAAATTAATTTCGAACTTATTAAAAGAAATATTAAAAGAAATATTGAAATTTTTTTCTAATAGAAAACGTTTAGATTTTCTTTCGAATTATTCTAAGGAGATGTTCTTAGAATTGCTCTTAGAAGAATTTTATTTTTGATAATGTTTTTTTAAAAACTTTTCCATATAAATGGTCCACGGTATTGAATTTGAAATGAATTGAGTTTTAAATAAGATCTTGGAATTACAAAATTATCAGATGGGTATTAATGAGATATTTCTGCAAAGTAAGAGTGAAATATATAAGGAGATAACGCATGTTTTGATTTAAACGTAAAAAGCATAACTTGGTATATATTAAGTTTATAAACATTAAGCACATTAAGTTTCTAAAAAAAGATTCATCATTAACAGTTCTGTTAATGCCTAATATAATCCTGCATGAATGTTTTTGTTCAAGATAACTATGAATAGGGGAAGTCAGGGTACAGTGGATTGAGGGGCACAGTGAATAAGAAGCATTTTTTCAAAGATTATGATTTTGTTCATCACGATGATGTAATAAGTTTATGTGCGCATATATCACCCATCTTTATTTATAGGTGTTACCACATAATTTTTGACTCTCGGTTTTAGGTAGGTAATTTATGTTTTTAGCTAACTAAAGTAAATGCTCTTACCATCTTTATGTTTGTTGTGGAGATCATGGTTAAAATCATTTTATAAGTTAAAGTTTTATACTCGGAATACTGATCTTTATGGTTCATTTTAGTAGTTTTGCTTTTCCTTTAATAAAACTCATGCCCCAAGAAATTAAACTTGAACCATATTTTTTATAGTGGGGCACAATGAATCGGGGTACCGTGAAACGGTTAATTCACTGTGATAAAAATGTTTATAAAAATTAAAAATTTACTTTAAAAAATTTCTTGTGTTGTTGGTTAAATAAGTTTTATTAAATAAATTTTTTTTTGTGATTTTAGATGGTTGAATAAGTTTTGTTATCAATAAAATTTATTCTTTATTTTGTCAATCAGAAAAAATTTAAATTATTTAATATTAGTTACCAAAAGTGCACCAAAAGTATAGTGTACAATGTATTTACACCCTCATCCTCAAAATTATTTGGCTACGCCCCCATTAACTACCACTAAATTGCGAATGAGTTAATTGTTTCACTGTACCCCAGTACTGGGGTACAGTGAATCACTTAACAAAACTCACTTTAAACCTTTCTGTGAGCTGTTAGATAATATATATTTAGATTTTAGTTATTTTTTATCATGAAGGACATATTCTCAATCCTTTAGCCTTGACAAACATAAAATATACATTTTAACTTTCACTCAAATTAAAAAAGAAAGAAATTCGACCCACTTTGCCCCACTCTCCCTAAATGAAAAATATATAATTTTCAAAGACTCCGCCCTTACAAAAAAACCCAGCGAACTTCCAGCGAAAGTTCACTGGAAATTAAAAGATCACTGGAAATTTACTAAGATCACTGGGTTTTCGCTGGATTTCCATGGAAACAAAAGACTTCGCTGGAAGTCCAGCGAAAAACTTCCAGTGATCTTAAAGTTCGCTGGAAGTTTACTGGGTTTCTTGCGAAATATTTCGCGGTGATGTAAAAAGCGTTGCTGTTACAACTTCTGCAAGCAGTTAAAACTTGGAAAATTGACAATATAGCTTCTTAAAATAATATTTCAAATTTTTGTATAAAAGTAATCCTTTTTATTTTATTTTTTGCATCTAATAGATGATCTATAGTGTGAGTTTCAATTATTATTAGTTCTACTCAAGTTACAAAACAAAATCATCTGGTATGTTGCTCAAAATGTTTATTTCTCTTAAGTATTGTTTATTATGCATTCGCTTTATGCGAATGCATTTTATTTATTAAATTCAACTTTATTATTTTAAAAAAATAATTTTTATAAATGTCTTTATGATTAAGTATTTTATATTAAAAATAATAAATAACAATCTGTTTCTCTCTCGCTGAAAGAGAGGGATATATAATATATATCCCTCTCTCTCTCAGTATATATATATATATATATGTATATATATATATATATATATATATATATATATATATA